GAATTCTAAACGGGATTTATTCAGCGAGTCTTTCAAAGAATATGAATTTTTAGTTTGTATAAAAATATAATTTTGACATTTCTTTCTCTATCTCATAAGTGACCCCTGTTAATAAGGCTTTTCCCACCAAAATTCAACATTTGTTTGTCTCTCCCAACCGCGAAGTCGGGCACAAACTCCTTAGTTTCACGAGAACAAATTTGCTATTACCATGGAGAACAGTCTTTTCCCTCAAGACTCGCAAGTTCTCACATTAACAGTAAAATTTTAACTGAGCGCAATAGTACGTACGAACAGCTGCAAAATGGCGTGAACAGTTAAGAGAATAAGCAACAATGTCATAGACAGAAGAGAGCTAATGACATTAGTTAATTTGTGGAGGAGATGAGATCGTATAAAATCCAGGACTAGACCTTATATCGTTTTTCAACGGTAAACAAGTGTCAAAGTGCGAAGTGGAGACTTAGCGGAAGACAGGGATTCCCCTACAAAACCCGCAAGCAAGGAAGTAGGCGTCTTCAAGACGTCGTATGTAAACACCGGGTTATAGGGTTGAGGGTGAACATAGAACAGCACGGAGGGCCCACTGATTGCCCACAGGCGTCGTCACCGATAGACCTATGCTGTAACCAGGGGGTGAGGAGGAAGACAGGGGAACGCAGAAGCCCAACATTTTTCTGCCATGCGCAAAAAGTTTTTCTTCTGAAGTTGGGAAGGGATCTTTCCCTTCTTCTCGTGGGTTTCCTCCCCTCTCAACCCCTTCCCTCGTCATCGTCGTCATTTCCCGCGACTTTCAAAAGAACGGTAAAGTAAGCGAAACTTTGTAAGGCGTCGAGACGGTTAGCGTCTTTTCACTGCAAGGTAGAGCGCGCGACGTCGCGGAACCTGCTCGGCCACTTGCCGCTATCCGACAGCGTCTTGAGGCGTCGCGACGTCAGAGAAGTCTTACGAAGACGTGAACAGTGTGTCTTGTTTTGTTTATCTTTTTAAAATGAATTAAACTTTCAACTTCATAACCCACAGTTCAGAACTTTGATCTACAAGTTAAACGTTCAATGTACTTTAAAGATTAAACCAATGGTCAATTGTGTGTAGACGAATTGACAGGTAATATATGATAGAACAAAATGCAGTGGAAGAAATATCGCCACACTGATTTACTTAATAGCAACTGAAAGAACGAGAAATAATTATGGATTTCAATATAAGAACAGCATTCCATCCATAAATCGTAACAGATACGAGATCCTCGATGTTTATCATAAATAATTAATAAACTTATATTTGCATATTATTCCGTTTGTGTATTTTCTCTACTTTAAATAATTAACCTACTGGCATTCTTTCACGGCCGTGGGTCTAACTCGGGGTCTGGGTGACGCTGACTATGCCGGTAGTGGCAAAATGCTCCCCTACACAGCGGAAATAGTTCCTAGGCCATAAATGTAATAAAGTTTACACGTACTCCTGTTTTTATAATATTAAGTAATTTATTCCAAAAAATTTAAATTTAATTTCTGTAAATATTTTCGGAAAGAAACGTAAAATACCAGGTCTGTATCCACAGTTTCTAAACGTAAATGTAATTCTTTTCTATAATACAGTTCCCGCGGTACAGAAGGCAGGGGCCCTATCAGTAGTCAGTTTTTGTACTTTACGCGATTATTCTACATTACGATTACGAACATCCTCTACAACTACAACGAATATTGAAGAATTACAACAGTACAGACGTCCTTGCATGAGTGTTTGGTTCATTATTTCTAGATCTTACACAAGATTAGATCGGGTTGACTGTAGTCCGGGTATTTAGAAAGGTATGAGACAACGAAATTTCTTCGAGAACGGAGACTCACCTCTGCCACTCCTGCCGACGAACCTGAGGTCATTAAACTTGGCCACCTGGTTCTTCATGACCGCCGTGCAGTTGCGAAGTTCCGCGCAGTAGTTCTCGTCGTTCCCCGCCCGAACAGTGACCAGGGTGCCATCCAGCACGTCCCCGAGAGCCACAACTTTGAAGGCGACGGGCAGAGTCTTGTTGGACCGCCAGTGCGGCGGAAGGACCGTACACACGAAGTGGGGGCTTCCGGTCCGGACAAGTTCACCGGGATGTTCCGACAAGAAGTCTCCCAACGTCCGCTCTGCCAGGATATCGGACGTCATCTTCGTGTATGTGTCATTGAGGACGTTGCCACTTCCAGCGCTGCTTCCTTCGGGAGACGCAGCGGCCGTCGTGGCGCCCCCTGTGTTCGCCGTCAGATGCATCGGGTCGACGACGCTGACTGACGAGGATGTGGAAGGGCGTCGGAAGTCGCCCCCGCAAGACGGAGTGTGACCGCCGAGGACACCGCTTCTCTCTTTGCTGCAGTCTGAAGAGACTGCGGCCACAGACAAGGTCTTCGTACCCCAAATTGTGACGTCTGACGCAATGTCTCCTGATACACAGGAGGAGGGTTTTACCCCTGCCTCGTTTACTCACACGTAATTACACAGAAAACACTGAATCCGAGATATAAATCACCACATTATTTTTCCATGCTTACAACAACCTGCATCTCTTTTTTTACAAACTGTCAGAATGATTGCAACAACATTTTTCCACGTATTTTCCCAGGTTCGTCTTCAACTTTTTCAAACACAACAACACATAAACTTTCCTCTTTACCAACAACACCTCCTCAACGAGCTCACCCTTTCCCTAGTTACCTTTTGTCACATGTTAAAAAAGACCACGCGCAGTCCTTTGTTTTTTTTAATGTGTCAACAATGATTACCTGTGACAGAGCGGGTTAGCGAAACACCGCGTTGTCCTATTTAAAACTTCCAGCACGTCGCATCCTGACAACGACACTGGACACCGCGGCGCACGTGTTGATAGATTGGAGGGAGGAAGTCTTCACGCAGCGTCTGTTGCCATGACGGAAGCTGCGAGTTGTTCACTTCTTGTCCCCACTTGTTTTATGAATGGGAAAAAAAAAGAGAGACGTCCCGTCTCGCGATCACGCCGCGTTCAACGAGGGGTGGAGGGTGGAGGGAGGGTGGAAAAAGAAGAACGCAGTGCACAAATATTTTTTTATGAATGACGAAGTGTTGAAATATATTTGGAGAGATGACACATGTTCATTACATCCAATCCGTTCGATTCTTTTACAGCATAAAGCCGACAATTCTCTTAAAAGAGTTAAAACTGTCGATAGTGTTATTCTGTCACTGGATGCTTTAGATTCCGCTGTCTTGACCGAGAGAGAAATGGGGTTTTTTTTTGGGAGAATTTTGTTCACACTTGGTCTGATCTTCAACAGCCGTCGCTGACAGCACGCCACATCCCAGGTGAAAATTTAAATTAGCTCCAACAATTAGCAGGTACTTAAGTACTGTTGTTCACCCGCTCTCTTCAGAGCCACTGATGAGATCTGTGTGTGGCTGGTTACTGGGCACCGAGCCACTTCCTTGTTCAAAACCGTATGTTAAAAACACGCAGCTAACTCAACTCCTCCCCCGCCCCTCTCACACAACCCCCCACCTACCAACTTCCTAGTACTAAAAAAAATACCTCATCCCAACTGATTCCCTAGCGAAATAAAATCACACGCCGTAGCAAGAAGCAGAAGGACGACAGTATTTTCTGTGTCACACCAGTAGCAGCACTGATGGGCCTTAGTGCAGGTTATAACACAATAACACAGCCCCCCCCCCACTTCACGCCCCACGCACAATCGTATGCATGTAGTGTTATATGTACAAGTAGGTTCAGTACTATGAGCACTAGCATATTGTGACCCCGGATGGGGGGGTGCAGGGGAGGATGTCCCACCACGACGACCAACCTAGGGGCTAGACTTCCATGGGCTTGCGTTAACAGTAGTGTAATACGGGGTAAACCCTAGTCTCTCTCTCACTCTCTCTCTCTCCCTCACTCTCTATATAACCCCCTTCCTGCCCCTAAAACCCCATAGCCCTCATCACAGGGCTGGCGTCTGAGGGGAAGGGAAAATGAAGTGGGGTATTCAGAGAGGAGAGGGGTGGTAAACGACGCACGCTCCATGGTAACGTGGACACACATCTAGCAAGAGATAGATTGGGGTGGGGGGGGTTGTAGCGTGTGCGGGGGAGTCAGAAGCAGTTCTAGAGACGTCCTGTCCTGTGTGTTATGTAGCTTGGTATTGCCGCTTCTCACAGACAGAAGACGTATCTTCCTTCGCCGAGCAAACCCGAATTTGACCGAAAACAGAACGTGTACTGATGGATAAGTTCCTACCCCGGTCTCTCTTCACTCCGATATAATCCATGCAAATTCACGGGGCAGCACCCCTTCCCCCCCCCCAACAGTTTTTTTTATCCCTTGTATAAACCACCCCACGGGCACTCAACAATACCTTGTACAAACAAGAGTTTTTCAACACGAAAAAAAGGTAATATACTTACCTAAATCTGTATACACATGCCCTTTCTTCAGCGAAATCGCATTGTGTAGTCGTCTTGGCATTCTGGAGACCCCGATTTGTCCATTTCTAAATCTGGAATGAAGAAAAAGTTTCGCATGTAAACAGACATGAAAAGAGCAGAGATATATGTGGCAACACTGTACACTGCAGTCCTTTAGGAACCACAAAATTAACAGGAAGAGAAAATTGGGTCTATACCCCACGTACACAGGCATTTCAGTACACTTTAAAATGCTTTCTTAGAATTTTTATATAACCCCAATCGAGTTCATGTTACTTTATTCCATTACAGCATAAACACTCTTCTCATCCAGAGTCCGAGATTATCAGGAAAGAGGAGATGCAAATGCATGCATAACGTTGCAGCTATTAACATAAAAATAATCCGAACGTGACGAGGACGTTAGTCTAAATTAGGAATCAGACGGACAGAATTTGTACTTTGACACAGAAATAACAGATTAATGTTACTGGGGACTTGGGACAGAATTTGTACTTTGACAGAGCAATAACAGATTAATGTTACTGGGGACTTGACAGATTCAGATCCTAACCACCAAGAAGTCTAACATGTCACAAGCGAGGAAACACACTTTTCTGACAACATTTACTTATAAAAGTAAGTTTTTTTTGGCGACGGGGAAAACAGCACTGAAAATTTATATACCTACGCATTTTAAATCCCACTTTTCAAGTGTCGAAGTTCATTTCCATTGTGGTCAAGTCAATTCAAAATAACACCGTGGCGTAAGCTCCCCTATAAATGAATTATTTTAAACTTGCAGCTAACAATCTCTCTCGTACAACGATCCATGAATTATTTACGAAATGCGTGCAGTTCTAGACACGTTGCTTTAACAGCAAAGCGCCTACACCTTATCAATTAGATTGACCCGCCAAACACAGTTGTTGGAGAAGTTGTCGACTGAGCTAGGCGATGTGCTATCCAATCCCCTGTTAAGCGCTCTCAAATCAAAGCAACAGAACGGTGTCTACTAAGACCTTCAGGACGTTGTAGCTGGGTTAATGTAACAACATCTCTCCTACAATCCCCAGAATGCCGACCTGTCGTCAGGAGTTCCTGGACGTAACATTGTGGGATGAATGCTATTTTTAAGGTGGGATTTCTCGAAAACTTTCGTGGTTAGGTTTCTTAGAAAACAGCTTATAATCATATAAGAAAATTAACAAATCACGAAGTGACTAATTTCGTCTCGGTCAGCTGTTTCTCGAAAGTTTATGGAGAAAAAATAAACTTCTATGTCAAAAATCTACTGTACCATGCCTCGGGCCGCGCGAAGCCATTTAAGTGGATAAATAAAATAGGGCAACTGTTCCAATTACATATCTCGACGTTTCGGTAGCGTCCTAAATGCGAGCTCAGGGTAGCAGTGATATCAATTAGGCAAATTCCGTGGGATTTCTTTTCCCAGCAATTCTGAATAAAAAATTCTCAAATCGCTCAAAGATGATTTACCAAATTTTTGTAAAAGATTTTCACAAACCCAACGGGTTTAGACACAATTTCCATTCCAGCTAAATACAGGATGACGTCATGTTATCATGCTATTATACTAATAACGTTATGTTAAGAATGTTTAGCTTTATTAAAACCGCGAATTTGCCTGTACTTTTCATTAAAATCTGGCACATTAAGGTGGGATGTATTCTTCCCATAAAATCTACATAGTATTTTCTGTTTAACAAGGAGTAAACACGGCTGATTAACCCTTCTAAGCATAGTTAAAGTGGGGAATGTAAACCCACAATCGAAATGCCAGTTCATCGCTACCAATTTACTGTCACAAACAGCACACATCCGAAATACACAGAACAGTGGAATTCTTGACAAGATATAAAGTTTAAATTACACCTCCCAGTCACCACCATAACGCCATTTTCATACACAGATAAGATGGGACAGGTGAATCAATGAAGTGGCCAATACAGACCTGGGGACAGGGGGTCGATTCCCGGCAGAGACAGACAATAATCATTTCTTTCTGCCACGACAAACCTGTCCCCACGCAGTGGGTAAATCAGGTTGTTATCTTGGGGTTACAACGACCACAGCGTGAAACAGACAATTCGCCATCACCTCCATGCCACCTATACGCTTAGGGAAGGGCAGCTTCACATTTACCTTGCCTAGAGCAGCGTGCCACTCGTCAGCATCTGTAACTGTGGAGGTCCTCTGCCACAAACTGTTCCCTTCCCTCGAAAGCCCAAAGTAAAGTCTTTAAGTAGAACGTGGTAGCTGTTTACACAGTTCCAAAACTTCCCTTTAAACTCCACCTGCCAGGTCGTTTAAGGGTTAATAAGAATTAGGAAAGTTACATAACACATGTCGGTGGCAATCGATATACACAGTGGCTGAATGCCCAACTCCCCGGAACACAATCTTTCTGATAAGCTAACAGTGGCGCATATGGTCACCAAATTACACGCCTTTTAGAATACTCAAAATGTCATCATCTTCTTGTAAGTACCCGCCATTCGACCTTATCCTGAGGCACTTTAGTCCAATCCACGCCTTCCAGCTCTATTTAAAAAAAATAATTTTAATATTATCCGCCTACGTCTATATCTCTTGCACCTCCCTATGCGTGCTATGTGTCCTGCTTCTGCGTCTTATCCTCTGTTATTATATCTCCAAAACAGTTTTGGTAAATAGGTATTAGGATCGACTCTGCTCTATGGAGTTGGTTGCATTCATACGGATCGTATGAAATACGTACAGGAATTATCAACATAGAACAGCATTACCATCTTTTTTCTCCAAAATCTATTTCGGAGTAGAAATGTGCGGGCTGGTGGACAGACAGGAGTAAAAAAACCATTGTGTATTACATTTACACAATACGTAATTAAAAGTTATAATAAAACAAATAGTTATTTCGATTTAAATAAATTCCGTTTTAGAGGCACGAGGTGTTGAGCAGCACATCCTACACTTTACCCCTTGTAACACTACTGGACACACCAACCCCAGAGAAAATCAGCGCCAAGATTGCTACCCCTCGTGCTTGGGAGTTCTCTCCCTCACTCGACAGACACATGTCTTGTTAGGCTACCCCTTTCACATTATTGAACCCTCTCTCCACAGACAGTGTAATTAAAGTAACTACCCCCCCCCCCCCACCCCCCCTCCCCCCACGCCATTCAGCATGGCCGCCGTCTAGAAGACAAACAATACAGGACACTAGACGTTCCCTAGAGTGGTCACACACAATGTTTGTTTGTTTGTTACAAGCAACTAACGCGTTCTGAGCACCACATATTTCTGGATGAACCCTTAACATTTATTTCATTCAACTCTATGACGTATTCGCAAAAAATTACTCCTCGGTCATTTTGCTTCTCAGCATCACGGATCAAATCTCCTGACCCTCTCAGCAATCCGTCCTTCGTAGCAGAAGAATGTTTAAAATACGTAAGGAAAATAAATATCGGTAAAGATCAACGGGAAACTCCTATTAAAACGAGTGTGTATTGAAATGTGTAACAAACAGCATATAACATTTAAAATCAAATGATTACTTAGCTCTGCTTAGTTGCTAAGTCCGTACAGTATTAACACATGTAAACATCTGCTTTGCTGCTATATACAGAACTACACGTACATAAGAGATCACAGACGAGTGAACAGTCTTTCGTAATTAGAATTCATCATCTGCTCGTGCGCGCGCACTGGTTCGTCATCGATGGTTTTATCCAACATGTGTTATGTTTTGTTTTCATACGCCTGCATTCTTATGGGGCAAGAATCTTGCAGTGTGCCGCCAGGCGTCTCTGACAAAGTCCGGAAAGTTAGTGGGGGAAAAAACGAGCTTATTTAGCCACAATTGAAAAGAATGAAAGAGGAACTCAAAGAAATAAGAATGAGATGAGGGATCGCGGAAATTGAAGACAATCTTCAGCTCCTTGCTGTAATGACATGGCGACAATTCCTTGTGGTACACACGTGTTGGGCTGAAGAACTGGATGGTAGGACAAGACGTTCCTCAAGCCGCATAAGCAATTACTGTCAACGACGTCGGCAGTCGGATGTGGAAAACTTTACCGTCAGCAATTGGTCGTAGACTCTGTCGGCAGAAAGAAGGCCAGTAAGCACGCAGATTCACCAGGGTATATCAACGACGACTACATGTAGCGGAAACTGCAGAGGAGATAAATGCTCAGGAGGTCAAAATATTCCTCGCCATTTATGGGAACTAGAGGTTTTTTCACACGTTCAAAACAGCCACTGAATTTATTAAGGGTAAAATTACTCCTGGTGCCTAAAGAAACACCAGGCGAAGCAGATTTATTGAGTAGTGGAGATGGAACTCCACGTATTCTTAACCTCGGCATTAGATGGATGTGAATGAACAGTTTTACGTCCGGCTAATTTCTCCGTCAGTGAAAGATTCCCAGTGTCAAAATATAGGAAGCTGGGAAGGCCCCAGAATCTGTCTTGACGTTCTGACGAAGAGAAAAATCTCGTCCTGCCGGAAATCGATCCCTGGCCCAGTCAGTATAATGACTATTAGTCCATACCATATTTCCTAACGATCCGATTTTAATATCATTTTTCCATGTAAACACAGATTTTTTCCGGCCAGGGTTTTATATTTGCTTATCTCTCACTAAAATTTCAAATGTGTCGTGAAATGTAAATCACAAAACAGCAACGTATCTCATTCAGTTACATTCAGTTCGTGACTCTGGGACACCCAGGACATCAGTATGGCTGAAAATGACCAAACAGTTGAAACACGTCGCTCGAGTAGCAAACAGAGAGCAGTTGAGTAAAATATCAAGACCATTACTCCGAACAACACAATTAAGACAGACAAGCAAACGGCCGTTTGATCAATCACAGATTTTTGTGATCGGATTCTGACTGGTTCACTAACCGCTACACCACCACCAGGTCGAGGTCATGAGCGAATCTGGAATCCGAACCTTGTCGTGTGTTGGACCTGTCAGTCGACCGCTTACTGGCGGGTCAGGTCAGTCGGTGCGGGATGGGGAGCTGACACGTAGCTTCCGGTTCCGG